CCCCGCCCAGCCCAGAGCTGGCCCACGGCCTCTGACCCTGCCACGGTCCTGCTGAGCCTCACCCAGGGACTCCAGATGCCTCCATCCTGTTGGCCAGGGACACGTCGTGGGACCACACGTCGTACTGCCACTTGCGCAGCCCAATGACCCCACACAGCACGTTCCCTGAGTGTATGCCCACACGCATGCTGATGTCCACACCTGTGGCCTCTCGCACCTGCCTGGGCAGAGCAGTCCCGTCACCCCATCCCAGCCAGGGCTGCGGAGGGACCCAGGTGAGCCACTTGCACCCCGAGCCTCAGCTTCCTCATCTGCAAAGTGGGTACAATGCATTCCCTACCACGCCTTGGGAAGCAGGAGGGGTCTGTGATGGGGACAGGACCCAGTGCCCGGGCCTGCCCAGGATACCTACTTAATGGCCTCACACATGTCCAGCCCCATCTTCACGCAGTTCCGGGCATGGGTGGGCAGGGATACGGGCAGACCCGACACACAGTAGTAGCAGTCCCCCAGGATCTTGATCCGCATACACTCATTGGCCTGCAGGGCAAGGCAAGCAGTGGCCTGGTCGGCAGAGGGCTAAAAGCCGGGGTCCACGCATGCCAGCCACCTCCCCACACCCTTCGGAGGGAGCCAGACTCTTTCCTGGCCAGAGTTTCCTCTGGGGGACCAGCCACCAGGAGCTACTTCCAGTCCTGGCAAAAGCACTGGGGACACAGAGGACTCTCCAGGAGGACCCCCTAAGCAAACATCAGGGGTGAGAGCAAGTGTTACTAAGGATGGCCGCCAGAGTGTGCCTCTGGGGGAGACACTCTTCGCTTCGTGCAATCTTGCAATGTTGGAATGTGTACCAAGTCCCCGGCCCGGCCCCAGACACTGGCACACGGCAGTGAGCAAAACAGACAAAACTCCCTACAACGTGTGGCTCACACGCCGGTGGCAGTTCGACACTAACCTAGACACAGAAAATCCACAGACACCCGGTAGTGATAAGTGCTAAGGAGGAAAATGAGGGACGGGAGGGGAGAGGAAGCTCCAGGAGGCCGGAGAAGGCCTCCCAGAAAAGGTAACATTTGGGAAAGACCCAAAGGAACCGAGGGAACAAGCCACGACAGTATGTGAAGGAGAGCATTCCAGGCAGGTGAAAGACGCAGCATGTGCAAAGGCCCTGCAGGCGGAAAGCTGTTTGCGTAGCCAGCAAAACAGCCCGTGCGGCTGAAGTGGAGGAAGTAGAGGACATGAAGACAGGTGGCAGGTGCCACAAGCCAAGGGGCCAGCAGGTGTCAAGGTAACCTGAGAGATGGCTAGGCGGCCAGGGATGCAAACCAGCAGGATCCTGGGAGTGGGGAGAGGACAGAAAGATGGAAGTGAACGCTGAGGCTGGGGCCACATAGGAAAACGCCCCTGAGGAGATGGGGGGCCCAGCAGGCTGTCTGAGGTTCCATCTGAGGTACTACTGTGACCACTAGGCCCTCTGTCAGCTCTTGGCCAAGGTGGCCACACATACCAAGGCTTGGGGTGGGGATTTAGAGACTCTAAAGAAGGGGCTACATGCTGGCTCCAGGCCCGCTTCCCAGGCCCAGCTGCAGGCCTCACGGGGGCCTTAGCAGGCAGGTAGAAGGCCTCCCTCTCCCCATCGGTACAAAGGGCCTGCCTCCTGCACCCGCCACAGAGGGAGAGCTGCGTCCAAGAGGTAAAGGGCAGGTCCCTGGGCTGTGGCAGGGAAAGGGCCATGTGCGACCGGAAGCCCAGGCTCCTAGCCCACATATGGCCCAGCTCTTGGGAACCCCCACCTGCCTGCTTAAGAGATGTCATGAAGGAAAGAGGCTCCTGAAGGAAGGCTCCAGACTAGACAGGCCCTCCGAATCACTCGGTCCACAATACCCTGAGGGACAGTGCTCCGGGGCACCCCTGGCCTGAAGTTTGGTCACCGCCCTGCGGTGGTCTTCCCCTAAGAGGGAGGCCACTCCTGGTGAGGCAGTCCCTCCTAGAACAGAGCGGCTCTGACCACGAGAAGGTCTTCCTAGTGTGGGGCCCAAACTTGCTTCCCACCAAGGCCCAGACCATTGATTCTCTGCACGTGGAGGCGCCCAGGGGACGCTTCGGAACTCGCCCAGGCGTGGGCACAGGTGTTGGCTTTTACTGACGCTCTCCACATGTTTCGAATGTGCTGCCAGCACAGATAGCCACGGCCTTAAATCCTAACACTCGGGTCTCTACTTAATGGCCACCACTAAGCCCGTCTTCCCCGGAAGCTGGGCCAGGTGCTCCCCAGACCCCCCAGCCCCCTACACCCCCTCTTCAAAGCTCAGAGCATACAGGCCGGGAGCAATCAGAGGGCAGGCCCAAGGCCACAGGAGCTCAAGGCTGCCACGTGGCAGGTCTCAGGACCATTTAAGGAGTTAATGAATGAGTGCACGCATGCACACATGTACACACACACACACACACACACCCACGACCCCCACCCCCACCCCCAGGCTCCATGCCACCCATGAAGACAAACAGTGAGATCAGCCCTGCCCGTCTCCAGACCTCTCCCTGCTCAGCTGTACCTGGGAGCCCCTCCTCACCCCATACCCTCCCCTGCTCAGCACCTGCCACGTTCCCCAGTGTCCTCACGTCAAGGCCTCCTCACCTCAGCCCTAAATCCTTACACATCTGCCCCTGGCAACTCGATCCCCTCATACTCCACCCAGTCACACCAGGCCACGTCCATTCCAAGGGCCCCCAGAGGCTTCTTTCTCCTCCAGCCTTTTGCACATGCTCTTCCCAATGCCCAGAACTGCTCCATTTCCTCTTCAGCGTCTCTTTCTAGGTTTCTCAAACTTTAATGTGCGCGCATGGTTCACCAGAGATATTGTCGGGAGGCAGACTGGGGGCGAGGCCCAGCCCTGAGATGGAGGCATCTCCTCCTCCAGGCAGCCTTCCTGAGCACCCCCTGAGCGCCCGTGCCCCTGTGCGTGCCCCCGCGCATACTGGCAGTCTCCCCACTGGCCTCACTCTCTGGGGACAGGGTCCTGGCCCCCGCGGCCACCCCACAACCCCACCGCCACCGTGGAACGCTCACAAGCGGTTGCTGACTGAGTGCTAAAGTTCAGCCGGGGCCTCTGCACGCCAATGTCGGCACAGCACTGGGCACAGGCCACCCCGGGGGGACAAGGGGCTGGCACAAAGGCCTGCGGGCTCACCTTGGCGATCTGGTCAAACTTGCCGAAGAGTTCGTTCAGCACCACCACCAACTCTTTGGGGGAGCAGTCGCTGGCCAGCCGCGTGAAGCCCACGATGTCGGCATAGAGGATGCTGGGGGGGGCAGGGGGGATGGGGGTCAGTGCCAGGCCCCTGGTGGTCCCTGAGCGCTCGCCGGCCCTGACCCCAGTCGCCCTGGCCACTCCTCAGCCTCCAGAGGGATGGGACAGAAGCTCCGGGCCGTAAGGATGAATGAACGTTCCAGAGGCTTGGCATTACGGCAAAAGGCAGCAGCCCGGAGTTGTAGGGCCCTTGAGAGCTGCCGCCCCCAGGCCCCCCATCACTGCTGATCGCAGCATGGTGGCGCCTCAGAACGTCCTTCTCCCTCCTCACGCCTTCAGAACTAAACCCCGTGGTGAGATGTGATTCCACACTCCCCTGGGCTGAGCTCCACGCCCGACACTTTACACACACACTACCCTGGGAGGACTCCCATCCCACAGATGAGCAAACTGAGGCTCGGGCTGAGGCTGCTGGAAACCAGAGCGGCAGCATGCCCAGATCTCCCAGCTCCAGAGTCCGTGAGCTCCAGACCAACCAGCTCACGGCACCCGCACCTTCGGTTCACTGACGCTGGTGCCTTCGAGTAAGATGTTGTAGCCCCTTCGAATCCACCAAGGACTGGGAGACGTCACCTCTTTTGGGGGGCCTTGCCCCCTTGAGAATCACCTGAAAGGACCCCTTTCTTCCCCGAAGTCCTACTTAGGCACAGAGTTTTACAACTGCAGGTGGCTACTGGATCTCCCCCGACACCAATCTGATCTGATCCCACCCCCCGGGGAAACAAATGGGGAGACTGAGGCCAGCCCCCCGGGGGACCCCGCGCACAGGCCCAGCCGGCCACCCACCTGACGTTCTGGTGCCGCTTGACGTACAGGCTGTGAAAGTTGTTGTCGGGCATGTAGCGGCGGTCCCCGCGCTCCTTGAGCCGCTCGATGATGGCGAGCTTCATGCCCATGGAGATGTGGGCCGGCAGCACTGACAGCAGCAGGTTCTCCTGGGCCCCAGGGAGCGGGGGGGGCGGGGGGGGCGGGGAGACAGGCAGGGGGACGTCAGGCCCCAGGCTCGGCGACCTGGCCTCGGTTTTCCCTATGGCCCTGCCCCGCTCTGCCCACGGTCCCCTCCACCTCCGCCGGCCTGCGTCCTGCCCCCAAGCCAGCCCGGCCCCCCGGCCTCCCATGTCACCCGCAGCCCCTGCGGTGAGGCCGGCACAGGTGTCCATCCTGCGCCCCAGGCACACACTGTTCAGTGAGCGTCTGAAGTGCAAAGAGAAAGGACGCAGGGCGTGGGGCCCAGGAGAGCTGGGCAGGGCCAGGCTCGGGCTCCAGGGGGAGGCGGCGTCCACACCTGCTGGCGCTTTTCGATGCGCAGCTTACGCCGGATCTGGATGCACTTCACGGTGTAAGTGAAGAGCTCTCGGGAGGCGTCCTGCATCTGGTGCTTGTGGAAGGCGCCCGTGAGGTTCCCACACAGGAAGATGACCGCATTGGCCAGCAGCTGGGGGCGAGGCGAGCGTGGGCTCAGCATTCAGCCTGGCCTGTGCCCCGGGGTACCAGCACCCTCGGCGGGCTGGTGGTGGCACCCCGTCCCCATTCTCTGACCTCCCGCCCGCTCGGGCCGGCACCCTTCGTAGGCAGGCAGGGAAATGGGAGCCCAGATGGGCGCTGGCCCCCTAGAGTCACCGTGACTCTAAGACCAGGTCTCAGGCCCTTCTCTGCAGCCAGAAAGCTGTGGCCCCAGAGACTAGGGAAGCAGAAGTGCATCACATCACAGAGCCCAGAGCCCAAGGGGGGGGCCTCGAGGACAGTCACAGAAGGCATGGCACCCCGATGAGTGCCCAGAGCTCTGGGTTCTATTTTCCAGAACCGCTGCAAGGCCAGGTCGGAGGAAACCCCATCTGCAGACCACCACGAATTGTGCATGTCTCAGTCACTCAATGCAGAGACAAGACGGGGTGCCCAGGGATACTCCCAGCCATGTCGGCACGAGGTTCTGCAGGGCAGCCACACCCTCACAGCAGTGCGTTGGACCCGGGGAGGAGGGCCGGAGCATCTGGGGCACCACACGCCAACCGAGAAAGGCTGCAGGGCATGTCCCCGGCCTGGGGGCCGGCTTCCCTACCCACTGGGAGGTGCTGAGGCCTCAGGACCAGCTCACCTACACCCATCTCCGCCATCCTCAGGCCCAAACCACAGCCCCTGCCCAGGGGCCTTCGCTGCCCCGCCCCCAGACCCCTGTGCGCACCTCACCTGCAGTCCCACCTGGATGCTGGGCTTTGTGAAGGCCTCCTTCAGGGCTCCAAGCACCAGGAGGTGGGAGATGCTGGAGATCACCCCCGCCACGATGGCCCCCTGCATGCTGAAGGGCAGCAGTGTATACACCACGAAGACGATGAACAGGAGGAAGGGCACCTGGGGGCAGGGCATGGGGAGGCTCGGGGACTGGCCACGCTGCCCCCACCCCAGGACCCAGCCCCAGACGGAGCTGACATCGGGGCCCCCACAGCCGCTTGTCTTGTCGGGATAGCCCCAGAAACCTGAATCCTGAGCCCCCTGCCCCCAGGGCGGCCCCTTCCTTTCCCATGTGGCGGGGGGGGGGGGCGGGGGGGAGACAGTGACAAACACAAGGGAACAAGAAAAAGCCAAACTCCACGTCTGGATCAGACCCAGCCAACATTATCCATCATTTCCTATGAGCTGATTTATGATCTGGGGCCAAGGCCAGGCCTCCCCAGGAGCGAGACTCCAGGCCCTCATGACCCAGGGCATGCCCACCTGGCGCCCACTGCTGGGACTCTCCCTCTACTGGAAGGCTGGGGCCGCCCGCTCACCTGCCGCCTCCAGCAGCGCAGCCCCACCCACCGCCCCCAGTCTGCCTGGCTTCCCTGTGCCTCAGCCCACCCCAGCCCACCAGAGGCGACAGTGACCAGCCAGGCCAGTGTGACTCAAGCTGGTTAAGAAGGGGCTCTCTCTTTCAGCTGCGGGGGGGGGGGGGGGGGGGGAGACAAGCTGGTGGGAGGGCAGCCTGGAGCCTGGGCAGCATCCGTGCCCGACCTGGGGACGGCCTGCTGGGAATGAAATGACACAGGAAAACAGAGCAGAGGGCAATCGGGACCTGGCCATCCTGCCAGAGCCCCAGGACTGGCCCCCCAGCCACTCCTGGCACATGGGCCAATTTATGCCTTTTTGTCTCTGAGTTGGAGTTGTGTCATTTCCAACCAAATGAGGGTCCCCCTATGATGCTCCAGCCAGACATCCACAGGGACGCTCCTCCCAGTTCATCCAGCTCCTCAGCTCAGGGAGCGGAGGGGACAAAATCAGCCCAGGGCCCGCCCTCTGTTGCAGAACCACAGTCCATAGGAGGAAGAAGGCCCCAGGCCAGCACACCAGATGCAGGCCCTGTCTCCAGAAGGGACCTGATGCCCAGGGAGGGCAGGAGTTGCTAGGTGCACAGCTGGCCGGTGGCATCCAGCACCCCCCCCGGGGACACCAGGGTTTACCTGTGCCCAGATAGGGGCCGCCTTCATCCACGAGTCGAACACCAGCGTGTAGCCCAGCATCATTAGGCAGACCCAGATGAGCACCGCCAAGGCCCTGAGCCACCGCCGGACGAGGCACTCAACATACACCAGCACGTAGAGAGCCACAAACACAGCAAGAGTGAAGAAGGCCATCCCCAGGACAGTCTGGTGTCTGGAGGGGTCCTGGGCAGGGCACACATACACAGAAATGCCACAGCTTTCCCCAGGGAGGTGCACCGTCCCCTCCAGGAAGTCTGCCACGCTCGCCTGTCCAGCCTGCCCTGAGCAATGTCACCTGTGCTCTCCTCCATGTGGCTGGTGTTTGTGCTCCCTCTGGGCACCAAGCTCTGCCTTCCCTTCAGGCTGTGCGCTGTCTTGGCTAAGGCTGCCTTCACCACCACCTTCCCCCAGTCATCGCGCAGCCCTGAGATGCTACCACCCCGAGCCCTCCCCATCGGGCCTCCTCTGCTCGCAGGGTGCTCTGTGCGTGCCCAGAGGGGGACAGCACAGGAGCTCAGCTGGGGAAAGGAGGAGACGCTGACCCAAGGCATCCCACACAAGGGGACAAGCTGGAGCAAAGGTACAGAGGTGTGACACTGGGAGGTGGCAACCAGGAAAGGCGAGTCACAGCTGGGTCAGCAGGGTCTCCCCCTGTACCCCGAAGCTCCGTGGGCACAGAGGCTGATCTGGGGGCCGGCACATAGTAGGCACTCAGGAACCATTTGCTGGAACAAATGTCCTGCGCTTTACAGGCACGCAGATCCAGGCAGCATGGACAGAGCCCCTACTGAGTGCCGACCACTCTACACACCTCACCCTGCTAATTCCCGGGAGTCTCGGAGGTCTTCTAGAACTCTGCTCTTCCACAGAGTAGCTACTAGCCACGTGTGCCTATTCAAGATTAATCTTATGTTAATTAAAAATCCAGCTCCTCCGTCATACTCGCCATGTGTCCGGCACTCAGTAGCCACACCGAGGCAGTGGCCGTGGCGGGCCGAGGCCGAGGTCACGGATGACGTTAGTGGTACCCGCCTGGAGAGCGGGGTTGAGAAGGTCCCTGGGGCCACAGCCGGGCTCTAGGAGGAGGAGCACCGGGAACGGGAGCCATCCCTGCCCTCAGTCTTCAGCAGAATCCGAGTTTGTTTTGGAGAAAAGGGAGGGTAGTTACCTGGGCCAGATTAATGTAATCTCTAAAACCACCCCAAGACTTGAAAATGAAATCGAGAAACCTGCCTCCTGGGGCCTAACTGCGCTCCAGAGGCCCCGACAGGCGCGGACGGTGGGCAGAGAGCGGCCCCGTGAGCACCGAGCAGCAGAGCCGAGCACCCAGCCACCCGCGGGCCGCCCCACTCACCCCGCAGACGAAGGTGATGACAATGAGGGCGACGCAGGCAGTGACGGCCACCAGCAGGAGCGTGAGCAGCAGTGGCCCGTGCTGGCTGGTGAGGCGGTACTTCTCGTAGAGTGCCGTCTGGTCCGGGCCCTCTGCGCCCCCGTTGAGGAAATAGCGCCCCTTGGCCGGCATTGTCCCCCCGCGGCACCCCGGCCCGGCAGCCCACTCGGGAGAGCCCGTGGCCCGGGGCACATCCGTCCGCTGACAGCCAGCCGGCCTAGGCCTCTGGCCGCAGGCAGCCTGGCAGGCGGGGCTGGGGAGGGGCCCTGGGGGCCTGCAGCCCCATGGGCAGCGTGGGGCCCACGCCGCTCCTCCACAGCCAGGCCTGCTCACGGCACCGCCAGACTCTTCCTCTGCGCCCGGGCTGGGCCGATCAGACGCGCGGGGTCCTCAGCTCTGCGGAGACACAAAGCACGTCTGGGTTTGACCTGGACAGGCCGAGTGAGGGAAGGACGGGCGGCAGGGGAGAGCAGGGCCAGGCCTTATCTGGGTCTCATCTACCAACCTGAACCCAAACCGAACTTTTAGGTCCTATTTGAAGCTTTGCCCGCGAAGCTCGTCCGCTGGGTTTCCTAGAACTGCACTGTCCCCGACAGCAGCCACTAGCCACATGTGACTGTGAAAAGTTACACTTAACTGGATTAAAAATAAAAATTAAAATTCAGACCAGCAGTCACACTGGTCCCATTCACTTCAAGGGCTCAGAAGTGAGCCACACGTGGCTCAAGGCTCTTGTACCAGGCAGCAGAGATAACGAGCATTTCTATCATCCAGAACCTTCTGCCGGACAGCACTGCTCTACAGGTTAGATGGTGTTGCTTTCACAAAGAGATCTCTGATCCATCCCAGGGAATCTCTGTGTATGGCGTGGGGCAGGGATCAGCCTTCATGCCTTCCTTCCACGTGGGTCTCTAACTACCCCAGCGGCTTCCAGCGAAGCCACCATTCCTTCCTCAAGAAGTTCAGTGAAGGGGCGCCTGGGTGGGTCAGTCGTTAAGCATCTGCCTTTGGCTCAGGTCATGATCCCAGGGTCCTGGGATCGAGCCCCGCATCGGGCTCCCTGCTCGGGGGAGAGCCTGCTTCTCCCTCGCCCTCTGCCTGCCACTCTGCCTGCTTGTGCTGTCTATCTGTCGAATAAATAAATAAAACCTTAAAAAAAAAAAAAAAGTTCAGTGAAGCCACCTCTGTGTAAAGTCAGGTGACCGAGCGCATGGGGTCTGTTTGCAGGCTTTCTCCTGTTCTGACAGTCCTTGCGCAAAGGTCACACTCTCTAGTGACTGGGGCTCTCCGGTGAGTTTTGGACCTCGGACCCCCATGCCCAGGACACCCAGAGTATCGCCCTTGCATTTGTGTTATGTTAAGCTTCCCCGTAAGACTGCATTTTGGAAATGCGTTTTTTAAAATTTCCACTGACAAGAACGTAAGAAGTTTGCGAGCTCCACCTCGTAGAAATGCAACCCGAACCTCAGAGACGGAAGCAGAGTGGACCGCATGTGACAAGCTGGGCACGGGTGCCAGGCTTGCAGTGCTCAGCCCACATGCGCTTCCCCTTTCCCCAGCACCGTTCGTCCATCTGCTCATTCATTTATTCCAAAAGGCCTATCATTGTGCCTGTGCGCCAGGCCAGCTCTGTCTCCCCACGGAGCTCCCGTCCCCGCAAAGAGAGAGTTACCGGAAAATGTACAATCCCTACGTGCAGCGATTGAGGCCTGGGGGCGGGCGTACAGGCCCGCCTCAGAGCCTGGAACGGGGACAGGGCAGGTGGCAGAGGGCAGGGAGGCTGTAAGAGGTGGGAAGGCCCAGGGCAGTCACAACGGGCCTGAACGGCACCGGCAGAAGCTGTGAGGGAAGGCAGCCCGGAGCGCCCAGCGGCAGAAGAGCAGGGCACCCAGAGTCCCAGAGTCCGAGTGAGGCCCCCCGGTGAGCGCCCACCTTAGATCCACAAGCCACCTCGGGCACGGATCCCTCCAAGAGCATCTATTCCACAAATTCCAGGAACGAACTGGAAAAAACCCCATATTGGGGGCTTGGCGGTGAGGCCGTTTGCCGGAGGTCCTGGATGCCTCCGCGGCTCTGGGCCCGGCAGGTGTCTGCAAGCCTTGGCACCTGTGGAAGGCAGGCAGCTCTGCGGGGGCTGGGCCCAGGGCTCCCCAAGTGCCCGAAGCCTGGACAACCTGCAGAGCTGGTTTCGACGGGAAACACCAACTTAACCAATGCCGGCAGCCGATTCCAAAACGTGAGTTGTGCGGCCACTCATTCGCAACCTCTAACTCTGAACTAACCAGTCTTGATTCCACATGAGGCGTGTTTCGACTACTAACCACATATGCCTAGCCCTGGGTGGTAGGGTTTACAAAACAAGAGCGGTTTAGGTTTGGGTTCAGGTTGGTAGATGAGACCCAGAGAAGCCCCCAGCGCAGGGGCACCCCCAAAACCAGCTCTTTACCATCAACGCCGTCACGCCAGGCGCCCCCACACACATATCCGCTCTCGTCTTCAGAACAGCCGTTTTACAGATGCAGAGCTGAGCCCAGAGAGGCCGCATGGCTCGCCTAAGAGCACACAGCCGGAGCTGCTTGGGGGAAGCGCTGGGCTCCACACCCGGGTCTGCCAGCTCCCAAGCCCGGGCTCCTGGCCGGCCCCGCGGTCTCGCCGAACCGAGAGAGGCTTCCCCAGTGAGCTCCCACTAGCAGGGGCAGCTCCCAGGGACGGAACCACTTGCCACAAGTACACGCAGCATGCCCTGGCCCTCCGGCCTGCTGCCAAAGTCCGGTGCGACAGGACCCGACTGCCAGGCCCAGAAACCCCAAACACCGAGGGCCCGGGACGGTAACAACTACCCCCCTAGGGGCTCTCTCCACCCCCGCCCAGGCAAAGCCCGCAGACCAGAGCCGGGGGCGGCCAGGACACCCCAGAACTGACCTGCCCCTCCAGGCGCACGCAGCCAGGCTGAGGCAGGCGTGGAGAGAGAAGGAGCAGTTGGAAGGTTCCCGGGGGCCCGGGGGACCCAGGCCTGGTAAACACTGCTCTCGGGGATCTAATTAGGCCACTTCCTGGGCAACGGCAGGCGGGAGAGAACGTGGACAACAGACAGCCCTGGGCACGGGGACCTCGGCCCGTGCGGGGACGTGGTCCCGCTCCCGGGACGGCAGGGCAGGGCTGGGAGGAAAGGTGCGTTTGTCGCTCCTGGAGAGATGGTCTGCGAGCCCCCCGCGGCGTCTCCACAGGCCCACGCCTCCCTCGCAGCAACCCGCCCAAAACCAGACACGGAGCCCCCCCTGTCAGGGAAGGCTTCAAGGCCCCTCTGTCCAATCACCGGTTCCTCGACTGGCCGCTGACACCGCTGGAGACTGGGAGGGCTAGGATTCAGGGCAGGTGGCAGAGGGCAGGGAGGCCATAGGTGAAGGCCCCGGATGAAGGAACTCCTTCGCCACATGTCCAACAAATGACCCCGCAGCCTTGGCTTGCCCACCTCGGTGACGGAGAGCTCATCACCCCTCAGGGCAGTCTTTTCCATGAGTGGGCACTCCTCCTGGCTGTAAGTCCCACCTCAGGTCAAGCGAAGCCCTACCTCCCTGTCACTCCCTCACCCCCACCCCACTGGTTCTGTCTGAAGTCCCAAGACACCGACGGCAGAGACATGCACTTGGGACAGTCGAGGCCCCTTCACCTGGAGGAAGTGGAGCCCAGGGGTCACTCACTGGTGGCATTCACACCTCACGATCACTCTGGTGGGGGAGCAGGGCAAGCAGCCCCATTTTACAGTGGAGGGGAACCCCCAAGGGTCCAGGTGGGAGGGGGACGTTACTTCTACTTCTGCTGGGACTTTCTCTCCCACTGTCGGTCCCCTGGGTCAGGGGCCGCGTGACCCAGGCTGGCTCATCACCACTGTCCCTCTCAAGCCCCAGTGACTGGTTTAGGGACGGTCGTGTGACCAAAATCCTCTGTGAGAACCCTCTCTGGGACTTCTGCTGACCCACAGCAAAGAGACACTGTCTTCTGCTGCTGACCTACAGCAGCAGGCAGCCGCTCGAAGCCACCATAAGAGACAGCCCATGGAGAATGAGCCAACATGGGAAACTGGAGAGACACAGGCTTGAAAATACCCCCCTGAACGCCTGGATCCAGCTCTGCCTGAAGTTCAAGCAACCTCCAGATAACTTAATTGCACCGAACAATCATGCCTCTTCTGGCTGAAGCCAGTGTGAGTTTTGTCGCTTGCAACCGACAGTGCCAAAGTCCATGTCACCCCAGTTTACTGTATCCAGGAAGCCCTCATTGAGGGTCAGGGGACAGAGTCCAGGGTCGGGGTCCAGGGGCAGGGGACAGAGTCCCACTTAGCTCAGAGGTGAGAGTAGGTCCCTGCAGACAAGGCTGGTCCTGGCTAAGGCCTCCCGGAAGGGGGCTGGGCCAAAGAGGGGAACGTCCCTCTCTCATACTTCTGTCATCTCGTCCCAAACTCCACAGCCCGGGGCCAGCCACCCTGCACAGGACCTGGGGCAGCAGGAGACGGGGGCAAGGGGACCCCCCACATCTTCTCCAGTGGCCTCCAGAGATTCCCCCCTGCAGGAGGAATTAGGGAGCCCAGCAGCATGCTCAGGTAGAAATGGAGGCCAAGGGGATCACTCCTGGTGGGCTCTGTACTCCTGCAGCCCATGTCCCATGCCAGCACGGGGCAGACGATGCCATGAACAGAATCTAGTGAGTGCTTACCGCGTGCCCAAGGGGCTCTAACCCTGCACACCGGCCCTGCAGGGGAGTAAGACTACGGCTTGCCTTTTATGGATGTGGGGACACAGAGAGGTTCGGTCATTTTCCTAAGGTCACACAGCTAGCAAAAGAGAGCCAGGATGTGAACACAGGTCACCCCCTCGCGTCCTGCTCAACGTCCTCAAGGTGCTGACATCTGCAGAGCCCATAACATCTCCAAATGCCAACCCCTCTCTGCCCTCCCCTCTCGAGGCCTAGGGTAGAGGGTGAGAAGCAAAGAGGACTCCTTCAAGGTACCTCCCTCTGCCTCCCAGAAGCAAGGTCAGACAGCCATGTCAGGAAGCCTGCTCTGAGCCAGCAAGATCCAGAAGCACCACCTCCTCCAGGCAGCCCTCTGAGCTACACACACACACACACACACA